TCTTCTCCAGACTCTTCCAGACTCACCCGGAAACCAAGTCCTTCTTCAGCCGCTTTGACCTGAGTCCCGGCTCCCAGGACCTCCTGACCCACGGAGGGAAGATCTTTGGGGCCCTCGGAGAAGCCATAAAGAGCCTTGACAACCTGAAGAAGCACCAGGACCTCCACACCAACAAGCTGAAGCTGAGCCCGGACCACATGAAGGTACGTAGACTCCGCCCATTCCTCATAGGTGTATATTAGGAGGAGCCAAAGGGGTTACCATCGGTCAAAAGTTCTGCAAAAGTTCGATTTCTGTGAAGTTTCACCCTTTTCGTTGCTATGTGTTGGTGTTGATGGGGAAAACCCAATTCTGGTGGTTTTCATGGGGGGGAGGGGGGGGTTAGAGAGTCTTCATTCACTCACAGATCCTCCAAGTGGTCAGGGGTCCTGCGTTCTTCCACTCCGGGCCCCATCACCTCCCCTTTACACTTCATGTGTCAGAAATGTAAATCCGCACCGCTAATCCCATGGAGCATGAAGGGCGTCATTGATCCAGCCGTGACCTCCCTCTATGGGGGCTCAGTCATGGGAGATGGGGGGATGGAGGATGGGGGATGGGCAGGATGGGGGATGGGCGGGATAGAGGATGGGGGGCTCAGTCATGGAGGATGGGGGGGGGCTCAGTCATGGGGGATGGAGGATGGGGGATGGGCGGGATGGGGGGCTCAGTCATGGAGGATGGGGGGCTCAGTCATGGGGGATGGAGGATGGGGGATGGGCGGGATGGGGGGCTCAGTCATGGAGGATGGGTGGGATGGAGGATGGGGGGCTCAGTCATGGAGGATGGGTGGGATGGAGGATGGGGGGCTCAGTCATGGAGGATGGGTGGAATAAAGAATGGGGGATGGGTGGGATGGGGGGCTCAGTCATGGAGGATGGGTGGGATGGAGGATGGGGGGCTCAGTCATGGAGGATGGGTGGGATGGAGGATGGGGGGCTCAGTCATGGAGGATGGGTGGAATAAAGAATGGGGGATGGGTGGGATGGGGGGCTCAGCCATGGAGGATGGGGGGCTCAGTCATGGAGGATGGGTGGAATGGAGAATGGGGGATGGGTGGGATGGGGGGCTCAGTCATGGAGGATGGGTGGGATGGAGAATGGGGAATGGGCGGGATTGGGGGCTCAGTCATGGGGGATGGGCGGGATGGAGGATGGGGGGCTCAGTCATGGAGGATGGGGGGCTCAGTCATGGGGGGATGGAGGATGGGGGATGGGTGGGATTGGGGGCTCAGTCATGGGGGATGGGTGGGATGGAGAATGGGGGATGGGTAGGATTGGGGGCTCAGTCATGGGGGATGGGTGGGATGGGGGTATACAGACGCATATATTCGTGGCTTCACCGGGCCCAACAAACACCCTCATTGGCTTCCCTTATAGTAAGATATGTGTAAAGTGCCACGAAAACCACGAAAATCTATCAAAACTCTCCCAAATCCAAATCCGCCCCCGAAATCCGCCGCGGCGGTCAGCACCAATGTAGACGATGTTCTCGCCGGCCGCCATGTTTCACTGATTGTTTCTTTATTACCGCCCCCCAGCTGCTGAACGGCGTCATCGTAGAGGTCTTGGCCGCCCACTTTGGAGGAGAAGTGAACCAAGCCGCCTGGAGCAAGTTCCTGGTTGAGGTCGGAAACGTTCTGACTTCCAGCTAATCGTCCCACCAAGACGACTCGCCAGAATCCAATATGGCGGCATTAACTCTTCAGGGAAGGGTGCCCATCGACCTCAATGTTTAGTCTTCTCTCTGCATGCTGCCCCCCCCCCCTCTAGTCTATATTGTTTACTCCTAACATTGACTATAAACGTGATGTAATGTAGCGCCAAAACGGCGTCCAAATCACCGCAATAAAGTCGTGACTGCTGTCCTTGTACCTCCGAGACTCCTGTCCATGTCTGGGGGGAGTGTCCATGTCTGGGGGGGAGTGTCCATGTCTGGAGGGGGAGTGTCCATGCCTGGGGGGGAGATGGGAGTGTCCCATGTCTGGGGGGGCTGCTCAGAGGGGGCGCTCTGCTGACTTCCATCGCCCAATCAGCTTTTCCTCGCATGTGATTGGGTGTTGATGATGGGAGCACTATTCCTCCCCCACTGACACCAATGATGGGGCACTATTCCCCCCACTGACCAACCAATGATGGGGCACTATTCCTCCCACTGACACCAATGATGGGGCATATTCCTCCCACTGACACCAGCAATGATGGGGCACTATTCCCACCCACTGACACCAATGATGGGGCACTATTCCTCCCCCACTGACACCAACTGATGGGGCACTATGTCCCCCCACTGACACCAATGATGGGGCAACTATTCCTCCCATGACACCAATGATGGGGCACTATTCCTCCCACTGACACCAATGATGGGGCACTATATTCCTCCCACTAACACCAATGATGGGGCACTATTCCTCCCTACCTGACAACCAATGATGGGGCACTATTCCTCCAACACTGACACCAATGATGGGGCACTATTCCCCCACTGACACCCAATGATGGGGCACTATTCCTCCCACTGACACCAATGATGGGGCACTATTCCTCCAACTGACACCAAGATGGGCGCAACTATTCCCACCCACTGACACCAATGATGGGGCACTCTATTCCTCCCACTGACACCAATGATGGGGGGCACTATTCCTCCACCGATAACCAATGATGGGGCACTATTCCTCCTCACTGACACCAAATGATGGGGCACTATTCCCCCCAATTGATACCAATGATGGGGCACTATTTCCTCCCGCTGACACCAATGATGGGGCACTATTCCCTCCCTGACACCATGATGGGCATGCACACCAATGATGGGGCACTATTCCTCCCACTGACACCAATGATGGGGCACTATTCCTCCCACTGACACCAATGATGGGGCACTATTCCTCCACTGACACCAATGATGGGCACTAGATTCCTCCCACTGACACCAATGATGGGGCACTATTCCCTCCACTGACACCAATGAATGGGGCACTATTCATCCCAACTGACACCAAATGGAGGGGGCACTATTCCCCCACTGACACCAATGATGGGGCACTTTTCCCCCCACTGACACCAATGATGGGGCACTTTTACCTCCCACTGACACCAAAGGATGGGGCACTATTCCTCCCACTGACACCAATGATGGGGCACTATTCCTCCCGCAAGCCCTGACACCAATGATGGGGCACGTATTCCTCCCGCTGACACCAATGATGGGGGCACTATTCCTCCCGCTGACACCAATGATGGGGCACCTATTCCCCCACTGACACCAATTGATGGGGCACTATTCCCCCCAATGATACCAATGATGGGGCACTTTTCCTCCCCACTGACAAGCCCACAATGATGGGGCATCCTTTTCCTCTCACTGACACCAATGATGGGAGCACTATTCCTCCCGCTGACAACCAATGATGGGGCACTATTCCTGCCCATTGCGTCTCACTGACACCATGATGGCGGCACTTTCTCCTCCCACTGACACCAATGATGGGGCACTATTCCCTCCCACTGACACAATGATGGGGGTACACTATTCCTCCACTGACACCAATGATGGGGCACTATTCTCTCACTGACGATCATTGATGGGGCACTTATTCCTCCAGTAACACCAATGATGGGGCACTATTCCCCCCACTTGACACCAAGATGATGGGGGGCACTATTCCTCCCACTGACACCAATGATGGGGCACTATTCCTCCCACTGACACCAATGATGGGGCACTATTCCTCCCACTGACACCAACGATGGGGCCACTCTTTTTTTTTTTTTTTTTTTCCTTGACCACTGACACTATTCCTCCCTGACTTGACAACCTAACGATGGGGCACTATTCCTCCCACTGACACCAATGATGGGGCACTATTCCTCCCACTGACACCAATGATGGGACACTATTTTCCCCCCACTGACACCAATGATGGGGCACTATTCTCCCACTGACACCAATGATGGGGCACTATTCCTCCCCCACTGACACCAATGATGGGGGGGGGGGACACTTTTCCTCCCACTGACTACATTGATGGGGCACTATTCCCCCCCACTGACACCCAATGATGGGGCACTATTCCTCCCACTGACACCAATGATGGGAACACTATTCCTCCCGACTGACACCAATGATGGGGCACTATTCCTCCACTGACACCAATGAGATGGGGCACTATTCCTCCCACTGACACCCAATGATGGGGGCTCTATTCCCCCCACTGACACCAATGATGGGGCACTATTCCTCCCACTGTGACACCAATGATGGGACATATTCGTCCCACTGATACACACAATGATGGGGCACTATTCCTCCCACTGATACCAATGACGTGGCACTATTCCTCCACACTGACACCAATGGACGTGGGCACTATTCCTCCACTGACACCAATGATGGGCACTATTCCTCCCACTGATACCAATGATGGGGCACTATTCCTCCCACTGACACCAATGATGGGGCACTATTCCTCCCACTTGACACCAATGAAGGGGGCACTATTCCTCCCACTGACACCATATGATGGGGCACTATTCCTCCGCACTGACACCAATGATGGGGCACTATTCCTCCCACTGACACACAATGAAGGGGGCACTATTCCTCCACTGACACCAATGAATGGGGGCACTATTCCTCCCCCACTGACACCAATGATGTTGGCGCGCTATTCCCTCCCGCTGACACCAATGAACGGGGGAGGCACTATTCCTCCCACTGACACCAATGATGGGGCACTATTCCTCCCACTGACACCAATGATGGGGCATTGTCTATTCCAACTGATTTCAGGGCCTTTTCTACTCCAATAGCCAAAGTCCGGCCCCTCTAAAGTCGGAAGGACAGTAAAGTGGCCCTTTGTTTGGACAGTTTGGGGCCCCCGCCTTGGAGCCGATCTCCGGTAATACAGCCGAGGACACCTATGAGGGAATTGGTATTTGTGTCCATCCATTCACACAGCTCCGTCACACAGCAGAGCCCGGCCTGGCAGGGCCGTTCAGTAACACTTACAGGTCATGCCCCTCCCCCAGCCTGTGATTGGACAGTGAAGGAAAAGCAGCCGACGGATGAGCTCACCTCTCTGCTCTCTCCTCCAATCCTCCTTGTGCCCCTCCCACCCCCCCCCCCAGTCTGAGCTCTGCTGTTGCTGATAGCGGCTCTCATACATTGCTGATATATCCATCCTCCGGATTCATTTGTATCTTTTATATCTCAACAAATAAATATTGTTCGAGGGCCCGACTCTGCTGGGGACCAGACTCTGCTGGGGTCCGACTCTGCTGGGGCCCGATTTTGCAGGGGTCTGCCAACCTGCAGGTAGATGTATGGGGGGAAATGCCGGGCGCCTGGCTGCCATCAGTACTGAGGTAATTCTCAGGTCGGGGGTGAGCGGTCAGTGAAGTACCTACCTGTTCTATGCCAGAGACGGCCAGATAGACAGCATTGCTGGGGGGGGGAGGGGCAGCAATCGTCCGCTTCTCAAAATGCTGTGTGACTGGCTGATCACTGAGAGGAACCAACATGAGATCAGTAGAATCAGAACCGCTGGACGAATCAGTCAGAGACTCAATTACTGGCCCCGCCACAGCCAGGCGAGCGGCATTTCCAGACGGATCAGAAGTGGCAGCCGAGCTCCGGATCCAATAAAAAAACTAAATCTTGGCGGAGGAATTAATTTTGGGGGATTTTATGTTTTGAATAAATAATTTCTCTGTGTGTGTGGGACCGCCCACTCGTGGTGGGGGAGGGGGGATCTGGTGGTGGGGGAGGGGGGATCCGGTGGTCCCATACTCATAAAGGGGGCTTCCCCCCCGCACCCTCACAGCCCCCGGGCCAAGGTTGTGGAGGAGAGACCCTTACCCTCATCACCAGCCCCCCAATGCAGAGAGCAGGGGGCACTTGTTTGGCCAATCTCCTCCATAAAAACGGAGACCATTGATTGGATGGATTTGGGTCCCATTGACTTCAATGCTGTTTGGATTCAGTATCTGAATTTTTTGAGGCCAAATCTCCCCGAACCCTCCTGGTGATGTCAGAGGAATGGGAGGGGCCAGTCTTCCAGCCTGGAGGAGCCTGCGGGAGCGGAGGATCGGGTAGATACAACGAAGCGCAGTGCTGAAGCGGCCCCGGTCCAGGGGAGGAGTCATCCCTTCCCCCGAGCTGCGCTGGAGGCCGCCGTCACACGGGGAAGGAGAACGCCCGACCATGAAATCCTCTGGAAGTCTTCGCAGTGGTGACTCGCGGGACCGTGCGTTCTACAAGTCGTGCTCGGTGCGGTGCAGAAAAACGCATCAAAAACGCACCAAAAACGCACCAAAGCGCGCCTTCCCATAGAAATGAATGGAAAACGTAAACGTGAACATTCGGAAGTCACATCTTGTATGCAAAACGCACCATAATGTATATTCATAAGCAGGACCTAGTGTGGGGGAGGGTTAGGACCCCCGTCAGCTTTCACTGGGACCCCGTTACAGACACACCCCCCCCCCCATACTCTACTATAGGACATTTCGGGAGCTGGAACCCCCATCGGGTTTTATTGTCCGTCCCCCAGCTGCAGATTTCCCCGCACTTCCTGTCTGATGAAAGGTTTGTCCCCGGAACAGGAAGTGCAGGAAAATCCCGGATTTCAGGAAAACAGACAGGGGTTCCAACCCCCAGAACTGGGACCTGAGAGTCACATGGATGCAGATTCCCCTGATGTGTGGTCTGTGGATCCCGCCACGTGTGGTCTGTGTGGTCTGTGGATCCCGCCACGTGTGGTCTGTGTGGTCTGTGGATCCCGCCATGTGTGGTCTGTGGATCCCGCCACGTGTGGTCTGTGGATCCTGCCACGTGTGGTCTGTGTGGTCTGTGGATCCCGCCAGGATGTCCGTGATGAAGGAGTTCTGAGATCCTGGAACATCCCGGAACATTCTATGAATCATGTGACTGATGAAGTGTATGTGACCAATCAGAACTCGGCATCTTTCTGTGATGAACTACGGATGTAGATGTCACCACTTACTATATAGACAATCCCCCCAGGAAGGGTAACATCAAGGGGTCCCTCCCACTTGCTATACAGACACGCCCCCCCAGGAAGGGTAACATCAAGGGGTCCCCCCCACTTGCTATACAGACACGCCCCCTGGGAAGGGTAACATCAAGAGGTCCCTCCCACTTGCTATACAGACACGCCCCCTGGGAAGGGTAACATCAAGAGGTCCCTCCCACTTGCTATACAGACACGCCCCCATGGGAAGGGTAACATCAAGGGGTCCCTCCCACTTGCTATACAGACACGCCCCCCGGGAAGGGTAACATCAAGAGGTCCCTCCCACTTGCTATACAGACATGCCCCCCATGGGAAAGGTAACATCAAGGGGTCCCTCCCACTTGCTATACAGACACGCCCCCATGGGAAGGGTAACATCAAGGGGTCCCTCCCACTTGCTATACAGACACGCCCCCCCATGGGAAGGGTAACATCAAGGGGTACCTCCCACTTACTATATAGACAATCCCCCCAGGAAGGGTAACATCAAGGGGTCCCTCCCACTTGCTATACAGACACGCCCCCCCCAGGAAGGGTAACATCAAGGGGTCCCTCCCACTTGCTATACAGACACGCCCCCCCAGGAAGGGTAACATCAAGGGGTCCCTCCCACTTGCTATACAGACACGCCCCCCCAGGAAGGGTAACATCAAGGGGTCCCTCCCACTTGCTATACAGACACGCCACCCCAGGAAGGGTAACATCAAGGGGTCCCCCCCACTTGCTATACAGACACGCCCCCTGGGAAGGGTAACATCAAGAGGTCCCTCCCACTTGCTATACAGACATGCCCCCTGGGAAGGGTAACATCAAGAGGTCCCTCCCACTTGCTATACAGACATGCCCCCCATGGGAAAGGTAACATCAAGGGGTCCCTCCCACTTGCTATACAGACACGCCCCCATGGGAAGGGTAACATCAAGGGTCCCTCCCACTTGCTATACAGACACGCCCCCATGGGAAGGGTAACATCAAGGGGTCCCTCCCACTTGCTATACAGACACGCCCCCCATGGGAAGGGTAACATCAAGGGGTCCCTCCCACTTGCTATACAGACACGCCCCCTGGGAGGGTAACATCAAAGTGTCCCTCCCACTTGCTATACAGACATGTAGAAGCCTTTTTAAAAGATAACCTCAGGAGGCCAAATGCCCAGAATACACAGAAAAATAGTAAATAACTATTTCAGACATTTTTTGAGAGAAATAGAAAGAGCAGAAGCGGGGAGAGAGCAGAAGCAGAGAGAGCAGAAGCAGAGAGAGCAGAAGCGGGGAGAGCAGAAGCGGGGAGAGCAGAAGCGGGGAGAGCAGAAGCAGAGAGAGCAGAAGCGGGGAGAGCAGAAGCAGAGAGAGCAGAAGCAGAGAGCAGAAGCGGGGAGAGCAGAAGCAGAGAGAGCAGAAGCAGAGAGCAGAAGCGGGGAGAGCAGAAGCAGAGAAGAGCAGAAGCGGGGAGAGCAGAAGCAGAGAGAGCAGAAGCAGAGAGAGAGAGAAGCAGAGAGAGCAGAAGCAGAGAGAGCAGAAGCAGAGAGAGCAGAAGCAGAGAGCAGAAGCGGGGAGAGCAGAAGCGGGGAGAGCAGAAGCGGGGAGAGAGAGAAGCAGAGAGAGCAGAAGCGGGGAGAGCAGAAGCAGAGAGAGCAGAAGCAGAGAGAGCAGAAGCGGGGAGAGCAGAAGCAGGGAGAGCAGAAGCAGGGAGAGAGCAGAAGCGGGAGAGGGAGCGGAGAGAAGCGGAGAGGGGAGAGAGAAGGGAGGAGAGCAGAAGCGGGGAGAGAGCAGAAGCGGAGAGAGCAGAAGCAGGGAGAACAGAAGCGGAGAGAGCAGAAGTGGGGAGAGCAGAAGTGGGGAGGGAGAAGCAGAGAGAGCGGGAAGCGGGGGAGGAGAAGCAGAGAGAGGAGAAGCAGAGAGAGCGGAAGCGGGGAGAGCGGGGAAGCGGGGAGAGGGGAAGCAGAGAGAGGGGGAGGGGAGGGGAGAGGGAAGCAGAGAGAGGAGGGAAGGAGGGGGGAGAGCGGAAGCAGAGAGAGGAGAAGAGGGGAGGCAGAGAGCAGAGCAGAGAGCGGGGAGGGGGGGAGAGCGGAAGCAGAGAGAGGAGAAGGGGGGGGGGAGAGGAGAGGGGAGGGAGAGGAGAAGAGCAGAGAGGAGAAGCGGGGAGAGAGAAGCAGAGAGCGGAGAAGAAGGGGAGAGAGGAGAAGCGGGGAGAGGAGAAGCGGGAGAGCAGAAGCGGGGAAAGGAGAAGCAGAGAGAGGAGAAGCGGGGAGAAGGGAAGCGGGGGAGAGCAGAAGCAGAGAGAGGAGAAGCGAGGGAGGCAGAGGGGGGAGGGGGGAGAGGAGAAGCAGAGAGAGCAGAGGGGCAGAGCGGGGAGGGCAGAAGCGGGGAGAGGGAAGCAGAGAGAGCAGAAGCGGGGGAGAGCAGAAGCAGAGGGGAGCGGAGAAGCAGGGAGAGGAGAAGCGGGGGGGGAGCGGGGAGCGGGAGGAGCGGAGAGAAGGGAAGCGGGAGAGGAGAAGCGGGGAGAGGAGCGGGGGGAGGGGGAGGCGGAGAAGCGGGGGGAAGGGGGAGCGGGAAGAGCGGAGAAGCGGGGAGAGCGGAGAAGAGGGAAGAAGGGAAGCGGGGGAGCGGAGAGAGCGGAGGGAGAGGAGAAGGGGGGGAGAGCGGAGAAGCGGGGAGAGGAGGGCGGGGAGAGGCGGAGAAGCGGGGAGAGGAGAAGCGGGGAGAGCGGGGGCGGGGGTGGGAAGAGCGGAGAAGCGGGGAGAGGAGAAGGAGGGGAGGGAGGGGGAAGAAGCGGGGAGAGGGAGGAGAGGGAAGGGGGAGAGCGGAAGGGGGAAGAGCGGAGGAGCGGAGAGAGGGAAGCGGGGGGGGGAGAGGGAAGGGGAAGGGAAGGGGAGAGCAGGGAGAGCGGAGAAGCGGGGGAGAGGAGAAGCGGGGAGAGCGGAGCGGAGTGGGAAGAGAGGGAGAAGCGGGGAGAGCAGAAGCGGGGAGAGGAGAAGCGGGGAGAGCAGAAGTGTTTGAAAAGGTAAAATCTTCTCCTGAACACAAGTTTGTTGCGTTCAATAAACCGCCTGTAACCTCCACTGCCTGTAGAGGGCGATGTGTGTACGGACAGGAGGACACTGGGGGAAGTTCAGGGGCTGCTGGGAAAACGCAGAACATCTCTGGAACGTCAGTATATCGCCCGCAGTGCACATGGGGCCCATAGACCTCAATGACAGACTCTACAGCAATAACATGGGAACACGTATGTGACACGCTACAATGTAACAATGTATGAGATCAGAGTTGATAAGTAGCAGATGAAATGATGAGACATATAAAGCTCGTCGTCCTCTCTGATCGAACGATCTCCCGACGGGTCCATTCACCAGAATCAGGCGGGATTGCCACAACTTCCCAGATCTCCACTCACACGCAGATATCTCGAGAGGCCGATTCCCGGACACAGGATTCTCAGTGCATTGGATGGCGCAATCAATCGAGTATCGGAGCCGGGAAGGGACTCTACGTACCAATCAGAGTCTCCAATGATTTATTACCGATTTTCCGGCTCAGCAATTTCAAATGAGAAATCTTCTGAATACACATTGGGGGATATTCGGTCCTCGAGGAAATCTCACCAGAGAGTGATTCTTCGGGGGGCTCCTACTCTGAGGACAAGATGGCGCCCAATGTGGCCCCCGAAGGAGATTTCACTTTTTGCACACCTTGTAGGTCTTGTCCCCTGTGATCGCTGTATGATCTGCCAATTACGGGGGGAATCGCTGCACCAAGGTCACTTCCTGCCCTTCCAGTGTCACCAGTCATTGGTCCTTCCATGTCCTGCAATAGTCCCTGCGAGGGAGACTGACAATGTGCAATATATAGGAAGAGCCGCAAGACGTACGAGAGGCGGGAGGAGCCGGTACACCTGTGCAAGACTGAAGGGGAGGAGCCAGTACACCTGTGCAAGACTGAAGGGGAGGAGCTGGTACACCTGTGCAAGACTGAAGGGGAGGAGCCAGTACACCTGTGCAAGACTGAAGGGGAGGAGCCGGTACACCTGTGCAAGACTGAAGGGGAGGAGTCGGTACACCTGTGCAAGACTGAAGGGGAGGAGCCAATACACCTAGTCAAGACTGAAGGGGAGGAGCCGGTACACCTGTGCAAGACTGAAGGGGAGGAGTCGGTACACCTGTGCAAGACTGAAGGGGAGGAGCCGGTACACCTGTGCAAGATTGAAGGGAGAGGAGTCGGTACACCTGTGCAAGACTGAAGGGGAGGAGCCAGTACACCTGTGCAAGACTGAAAGGGAGGAGCCAGTACACCTGTGCAAGACTGAAGGGGAGGAGCCAGTACACCTGTGCAAGACTGAAGGGGAGGAGCCGGTACACCTGTGCAAGACTGAAGGGGAGGAGCAGGTACACCTGTGCAAGACTGAAGGGGAGGAGCCGGTACACCTGTGCAAGACTGAAGGGGAGGAGCCGGTACACCTTTGCAAGACTGAAGGGGAGGAGTCGGTACACCTGTGCAAGACTGAAGGGGAGGAGTCGGTACACCTGTGCAAGACTGAAGGGGAGGAGCCGGTACACCTGTGCAAGACTGAAGGGGAGGAGTCGGTACACCTGTGCAAGACTGAAGGGGAGGAGCCGGTACACCTGTGCAAGACTGAAGGGAGGAGCCAGTACACCTGTGCAAGACTGAAGGGGAGAAGCCAGTACATCTGTGCAAGACTGAAAGGGAGGAGCCAGTACACCTGTGCAAGACTGAAGGGGAGGAGCCAGTACACCTGTGCTAGACTGAAGGGGAGGAGCCAGTACACCTAGTCAAGACTGAAGGGGAGGAGCTGGTACACCTGTGCAAGGCTGAAGGGGAGGAGCCAGTACACCTGTGCAAGACTGAAGGGGAGGAGCCAGTACACCTGTGCAAGACTAAAAGGGAGGAGCCGGTACACCTGTGCAAGACTGAAGGGGAGGAGACGGTACACCTAGTCAAGACTGAAGGGGAGGAGCTGGTACACCTGTGCAAGACTGAAGGGGAGGAGCCAGTACACCTGTGCAAGACTGAAGGGGAGGAGCCAGTACACCTAGTCAACACTGAAGGGGAGGAGCCAGTACACCTGTGCAAGACTGAAGGGGAGGAGCCGGTACACCCGTGCAAGACTGAAGGGGAGGAGCCGGTACACCTGTGCAAGACTGAAGGGAAGGAGCCGGTACACCTGTGCAAGACTGAAGGGGAGGAGCCGGGTACACCTGTGCAAGACTGAAGGGGAGGAGCCGGTACACCCGTGCAAGACTGAAGGGGAGGAGCCGGTACACTGTGCAAGACTGAAGGGGAGGAGCCAGTACACCTGTGCAAGACTGAAAGGGAGGAGCCAGTACACCTGTGTAAGACTGAAGGGGAGGAGTCGGTACACCTAGTCAAGACTGAAGGGGAGGAGCCGGTACACCTGTGCAAGACTGAAGGGAGGGCCTGAGGGGAGATTTCTCTCGGTGGCTTGTTCTCTCTGCGGTGTATGTACAGTGAAGGAAATAGGTATTTGCCCCCCGGCTGATGGTGAATGTCCCCCCCCCCACACAGAAATGATCGGTCTAACAATGGAATGTTCGCCCCTCACACAGAAATGATCGGTCTAACAATGGAATGTTCGCCCCTCACACAGAAATGATCGGTCTAACAATGGAATGTTTCGCCCCTCACACAGAAATGATCGGTCTAACAATGGAATGTTCGCCCCTCACACAGAAATGATCGGTCTAACAATGGAATGTTCGGTGTTGTAACACTGAGAGACAGAATACAACAACAAATTCAGCAGAAATGCGTCTAACAAATGATGACGGATCTGCATGTTCATGAGGGAAAGAAGGATTTGATCCCCTTCACAAAACATGACTTAGTACTTGGTGGCCAATCCCTTGTTGGCCATCACAGAGGTCAGACGTTTCCTGGAGTTGGCCCCCAGGTTCGCACACATCTCAGGAGGGATTTTGGCCCACTCCTCTTGGCAGATCCTCTCCAAGTCATTAAGGTTTGGTGGCTGACGTTTGGCAACTCGAACTTTCAGCTCCTCCACAGATTTTCAATCGGATGAAGGTGTGGAGACTGGCTAGGCCACTCCAGGACCTTAATGTGCTTCTTCTTGAGCCGCTCCTTTGTTGCCTTGGCCGTGTGTTTTGGGTCATTGTCATGCTGGAACACCCATCCACCACCCATTTTCAATGCCCTGGCTGAGGGAAGAAGGTTCTCCCCCAAGATTTGAGGGTACATTGCCCCGTCCATCGTCCCTTTGATGCGGTGCAGTTGTCCTGTCCCCTTAGCAGAAAAACCCCCCCAAAGCAGAATGTTTCCACCTCCATGTTTCACAGTTGGGATGGTGTTCTTGGGGTCATAGGCAGCATTCCTCCTCCTCCAAACACGGCGAGTTGAGTTGATGCCAAAGAGCTGGATTTTGGTCTCCTCTGACCACAACACTTCCCACCAGTCCTCCTCGGCATCATTCAGATGTTCAGTGGCAGACTTCAGACGGGCCTGGACATGGGCTTTCTTGAGCAGAGGGACCGTGCGGGGGCACTGCAGGATTTCAGTCCTTGTCGGCGTAGTGTGTTACCAATTGTTTTCTTGGTGACTGTGGTCCCAGCTGCCTGGAGATCATTGACAAGATCCTCACGTGTAGTTCTGGGATGATTCCTCACTGTTCTCATGATCATTGACACTCCACGAGGTGAGATCTTGCATGGTGCACCAGACCTAGGGAGACTGACACTTGTTTTGTGTTTCTTCCATTTGTGAATGATTGCACCAACTGTTGTCACCTTCTCACCAAGCTGCTTGGCCATAGTTTGGTAGCCCAGTCCAGCCTTGTGTAGGTCTACCATCTTGTCCCTGACATCCTTGGACAGCTCTTTGGTCTTTGCCATGGTGGAGAGTTTGGAATCTGATGGTTTGATGGCTCCTGTGGACAGGTGTCTTTTATACAGGTAACACAATGAGATTAGCAGCACTCCCTTTAAGAGACTGCTTCTAATCTCAGCTTGTTACCTGTATGAGAGACACCTGGGAGCCAGAAATCCTGCTGAATGATAGGGGATCAAATCCTTCTTTCCCTCATGAACATGCAGATCCGTCATCATTTGTTAGACGCATTTCTGCTGAATTTGTTGTTGTATTCTGTCTCTCAGTGTTACACCGAACATTCCATTGTTAGACCGATCATTTCTGTGTGAGGGGCGAACATTCCATTGTTAGACCGATCGTTTCTGTGTGAGGGGCGAACATTCCATTGTTAGACCGATCATTTCTGTGTGTGAGGGGCGAACATTCCATTGTTAGACCGATCATTTTTTGCTCTGTGTGAGGGGGAAACATTCCATTGTTAGACCGATCATTTCTGTGTGAGGGGCGAACATTTCCATTGTTAGACCGATCATTTCTGTGTGAGGGGCGAACATTCCATTGTTAGACCGATCATTTCTGTGTGAGGGGGAACATTCCATTGTTAGACCGATCATTTCTGTGTGAGGGGCGAACATTCCATTGTTAGACCGATCATTTCTGTGTGAGGGGCGAACATTCCATTGTTAGACCGATCGTTTCTGTGTGAGGGGCGAACATTCCATTGTTAGACCGATCTTTTCTGTGTGTGAGGGGCGAACATTCGTCATCAGGGGGGGGTAACAAATACACATTTCCTGCACTGTATATGGGGGGGTATATATAAGAAGGTATATGGGGGGTGTGGGGGGTGTGGGGGGGAGGGGGTGGCGGACATGTTTATGACGAATCGGCACTTCGATCTGCAGCCAGATTTACCAGGTGTGGAAGTCGGAAGTCGGTGAGGAGCGATGAGACACGTTGACAATGGATGACGGGCTGGGAGACATCTGGGAATTCCATAGGCGAGGTCGGAGCTGTCCAGGGAGAGGCCCCTTCCATCACACGGAAATGACTGTAATGACATCTTCTGTACACAGAATGGATTGATGTCCTGCGCTGTATATAGATGGTATACACCGTGTTCCCGATGATTCTGCAGATGATATTTCCTCATTTCCCTCAATAATTGATGTAAATATCAGTCGGCAGAAGAATTCTCAGGTGACAACTAGAAGAGGACAATTCACATTTTATTGAACAAACCTCCTAATGATAACAGGATTTTGTGTTCCGGATTATTCCGCACAGGAAGTTTCCAAACACTTTCTAGGTTGTAAAGAACTGAAAATTGTCATTTGTTGTGTTTGCAGCAAATTTACTGAAACCAAAAGCTTTTCAATCCAACTTTTCCCAACATTGTAACTTTGTAACCATTTGAAGCGTCACGTTACATTGTAACATAGGAGCCCTTATCTGATAGCAGATCACAAGTCTGGCATCCATTCAACTTGGCAGTTTTTGGACAGTTTATGCTGGAATTTGTTTGCAAGATGTCAGAATCGCCTCCCAGAGCTGCTGTTTGGATGTAAACTGCCTCCCACCCTCATAGATCTTTTGCTTGAGGATGCTCCAAAGGTTCTCCATAGGATGGAGGTCAGGGGAGGATGGGGGCCACACCATGACTCTCCTTTTATCCCCATAGCAGCCATTGATGCGGAGGTATTCTTTGCAGCATGAGATGGTTGCATTGTCATGCATGAAGATGATTTTATTACGGAAAGCATAGTCCTTCCTTCTGTACCAGGGAAGAGAGTGGTCAGTCAGAAACTCCACATACTTTGCAGAGGTCATCTTTTACACCTTCGGGGACCCTAAAGGGGCCGACCAGCTCTGTTCCCATGATTCCGGCCCAAAACATGACTCCACCACCGCCTTGCTGACGTCGCAGCCTTGTTGGAACAGGGTGGGCCGTCCACCAACCATCCACTACTCCATCCATCTGGACCATCCAGGGTTGCACGGCACACATCAGGGAACAGGACTGTTTGAAAATGAGTCTTCATGTATTTTTTCTGCCCAATGCAGCCGTTTCTGCTTGTGAGCATTGGTTAGTGGTGGCCGAAATAGAAGGTTTCTGCACAGTTGCAGGACTCTGGAGGACTCTACACCTTGATGTCTGTGGGGACTCCAGAGGCACCAGCAGCTTCAAATATCTGTTTGCTGCTCTGTAATGGGATTTTAGCAGCTGCTCTCTGGATCCGATGCATGGATCTGGCAGAAATCTTCCTCAATGTGCCTTTATCTGCACCAACCCGTCTGTGCTCTGAATCAGCCACAAATCTCTTCATAGTGCGATTGATCACGCTTACGTTTTCCTGAAATATCGAATGTGGTTTCATCCCTCGTCCAAAGCATCGAACTATTTCACTCTTTTCGGCAGCAGAGAGATCCTTTTTCTTCCCCATATTGCTGGAAAATGGCGCTATCTGCTTAATAATGGTGATATAGACGCCGTCCCTTTTGGGAGTAGTTTTGTCCTGAAATTGGGTATCTCACCGGCCAATATAATGATCACAGGTGTCCCAGATTGTTTTTCAGTGTGAATAAGAAGGATGACCACACAATGCCATCCATGAGTTACAGGTGAAAAAAAATTTCATCTTTGTGGGGGGGTAAAATAGAATTTGCAGAATAATTTGGAACGGGGTCGGTGTATATAGAAGGTGTATATAGATGGGTATATAGATGGTGTATAGATGGTATGGTTATATATATGAGGTTGTATATAGAAGGTGTATATAGAAGGTGTATATAGATATAGGGTGTATATAGAAGGTGTTTATAGATGGGATATAGGGTGTATATAGATGGGTGTATATAGAGGTGTATATAGAATGTGTATATAGATGAAGGTGTATTATAGAAGGTGTATATAGAAGGTGTATATAGAAGGTGTATAGATAGGGGGGTATATAAAGGTGTATATAGAAGGTGTTATAGAAGGTGTATATAGGTGTATATAGATGGTGTATATAGAAGGTGTATTATAGGGTATATAGAAGGTGTATATAGAAGGTGTATACAGACGGTGTATTGAAGGTGTATATAGGTGGTGTAGATATAGAAGGTGTTATAGAAGGTGTATATAGAAGGTGTATATAGAAGGTGTAATATTTTGTGGTGTATATAGAAGGTTTGTATATAGAAGGTGTATATATATAGAAGGGATGTATTATAAAGGGTGTATATAGATGGTGTATTGGATATAGTGTATATAGAGGTGTATATAGATGGTGTAATTAGACGGTGTGTATTTAGAAGGTGTATATAGATGGTGTATATAGATGGTGTATATAGATTGTATTATGATAAAGGTGTATATAGAGAAGGTGTATATAGAGGTGTATATAGAGGTGTATATAGATGGTGTATATAGAAGGTGTATATTATATAGAAGGTGTATAGAGGTGTTATATTGAGGGTGTATATAGATGGTGTATATAAGGTTTTGTATATAGATGGTGGGGTTAGATTAGTGTATATAGAAGGTGTATATAGATGGTTGGTGTTATAGATGGTGTAT